ATATTAATTATTAATTCAATTTATTTAATAGATATAGAGCTATTCAGGTTATCTTTTCCTCCTTGTAAGGAGTTTTAGTAGTTTGTATTATTCAAGAAATTGATTGATTTTTATGTAAGTTAACCAAATTTGTAGGCAGAGTTATTTGTGGTAGTCTCTCATTATCTTCTTACTGTTTGTGGGATCAGTCGTGTTAACACAACCCCAGTTTTATTGCTGATATTTTAACTTGGGTTTTCTTTTTTAATCTTGGTTACTCTGGCAAGAGATTTAACAATTTTATCTTTTTAAAGAACCAGCTTTTTTTTTCATTGATTTTTCTCTATTGTTTTCCTGCTTTCACTTTCATTGATTTCTTCTCTAATTGTTTAATTTGTTCTGCTTGCTCTAGTCTTTTTTTAAGGTATCATTGATATACAATCTTATGCTCAGGTTTCACCTGAGCAACATTGTGGTTACTACATGCTTTCTCTAGTCTTAAATGACTCTTCCTTCTTTAATTTCCTAAGGAGAATATTCAGGTTATTGATACTAGATCTTTCTTCTTTTCTCATATGCATTTAAGATGGAAACTTCCCTCTAAGCACTGTTTTTGCTACATCCCTCAAATTTTGATATATTGTATTTTCATTTAGTTCAAAATACTTTTACATTTTTCTTATTGAGGATTCTTTGACTCATGTATTATTTAGAAGTATGCTGTTTAATTTCCAAATTTTTGGGTTTTCCATTTATCTTTCTGTTACTGTTTTCTAGTTTAATTCCACTGAGAGCAGACTTTTATGATTTCTATCCTTTTAAATTTGTTAAGGTGCATTTTATGGTCCAGAATATGGACTTTCTTGGTGAATGGTCTCTGTAAGCTTGAAAAAAAATGTGTTCTTATAGGGGATGGAATGTTCTATACATGTCAGATCAAGTTGGTTGATAGTGTTGTTCAGGTGCACTATATATCCTTATTGATATTCTGCCTGCTTAAATCTGTCAATTACTGACTGGAGAACATTGGAGTCTGCAACTCTAATAATGGATTTGTCTGTTTCTCCTTTCAGTTCTATCAGTTTTTGTCTCATATTTTGACATTTCTGTTAGGTGCTTATATGTTTAGGATTATTGTGTACTTTTTTCAGAATTGATCTCTTTATCATTATGTAGTGCCTCTTTTTATCTCTGATAATTTTCCTTGTTCTGAAATCTGCTTTGTCTGAAATTATATAGCTACTCCAGCTTTCTTTTTTTGTCCAGCCCTCTTTTAATTAGTGTAGAATGATGTATATATCTTTTTCCATTGCTTTACTTTTAGCCTCTCAGTTTTTATACTTAAAGTGAGCTTCTTGTACACAACATGTAATTGTTTTTTTACCCACTTTGACAATTTCTCTTTAATTGGTATATTTAGACCATTCATATTTAAAACAATTTTTGATATATTTGGATCAATATCAACCATGTTTATAAGTTTTCTATTTGTTGCCAGAGACTTCTTTTTCTGCCTTCTCTAGTTTTAACTGAGTCTTTACATGATTCCATTTGTCTTCTCTCTTAGTGTATCAATTATATTTCTTTAAACAATTTTTTAGTGATTTCCCTCAAGTTTATAATATACATTTTAACTAAGATCACTTTCAAATATACTCTTACGCATCACTTATGTGTAGTTCAGCTACCTTATTAGAGTATTCATCATTTCATTTATCCATAATCTATAATCACTCAATACACTGTCATTATTACTTTAAAGTTTTACATCAATTAAGAATAAAAGATAAAAGGATTTTATTTTTATTTATTCCATTTCTAATGTACTTCCTTACATATAGATCTGAGTAGCTGACCTGTACCATTTTTATTCTGCCTGGAGAAAATCTTTCCACATTTCTTGAAGGGAAGATTTGCTGGTACTTCATTCTATCAGTTTTTGTTTGTCTGAGAAAGTCTTTATTTATCCTTCATTTTTGAAGGATGATTCTGCTGGATATAGAATTTTAGGTTGGTGCATTTTTTCCTTTAAATACTTTGAATATTTCTGTAGTTTTAGAGATTGCAGTGTTAACTTGTTCTGTCAAATTTATTTATTTTGAGGTTAATAAGTGCATACAAATTTTAAAATACCATGAAGTGACACTTATGTCTTTTAATCATTTTTCTCTGAAGTGTATTTTGTTATTAATTTAACTATAATGGTTTTCTGTTGGTTAGTGTTTTCATGTTACAATGTTTTCTGTACTTTTACTGTCAGTTTTTATGTATATTTCATAAGTCTTATAAACAATATATAGTTGGGTTTTTTCTACTCTCAAAATCTGTGTTTTAATTACCTCGTGTAAACGGTTTACATTTAATATACTTACTGATACTAATGGATGTAAGTCAACCATTCTACCAAGTTCCTTCTCTATGTCCCATCTGATTTATGTTAGTTTTCTCTTCTTTAGGATTATTTTCTTATTTTTGCCCTTCTATTGGCTTAGAAGTTTTATACCTGTTTACTCTTCCTTAATGGTTACCTGGCAAGTATAGCATACAGTGTTGATTTATCAAAGGCTAATACTAATTTATACTTTTACAGACTTCCCAGATAATGCCAGAACTTTAAATACTTTTACTCCAGCCCTCTTGACTCACATGTTATCTGTTAATATAAATTCACAAGATAATGTTATTGTTTTACAGAGTATTGATTTAAATTTAAATAGATACTCATCTTTGTAATTGCTGTTTATTCCCTTCTTCGTCTCTGGTCTTCTATCTGGGATAATTTTCCTGTTATCTGAAAAATGCCCTGTACTATTTAGTACTTCCTTTGGTTCATGCCTGTTGACAGCAAACTCTTCCTGTTTTTGTTATTTGGGTAGGTCTTTATTTCACCTTCATTTTTGAAGGGCCTTTCTGCTGGTTATCATTTTCTTGGTTGGCATTTATTTTCTTCCAAGACACTAAAGATACCATTCCACCATCTTCATGCTTCCATTGTTGCTGTTGAGAAGCCAGCAATCAGCCTCACTTTTGTTCCATGGAAGGCATACTCTATTTCTTCTGACTGCTTTTATGATTTTCTCTTTGTCTTTGATTCACTATTATGCATCTATGCATGCATTTCTTTTTATTTATCCTGTTTGGATTTGTTCGACTTCTTGGATCTATGCATGTCTTTCATCAGTTCTGAAGAATCATTAGCCATTGTATCTTCAAATGTTGCTTCTGAACAATTGTATTTCTTTTCTCCTTCTGGAACTCCAAGTAAAATGTGTTAGACTTTATCATACCCTCCCATCTATATTTTCCATCTTTTTGACTACCTGTGTGGCCTAAAGGATAGCTTCTCCTGAACATAATTTGTAGTTCTTTAATTCTGTCTTGCATTGCATCTAACCTACTAAAACCATCCATTGAGTTTCTAATTTCAGTTAAGTAGTTTTTAGTTTTAGAATTTCTTTTTTTTTTTAACTTCTGGTTTCTAGTTCCCTGTTGTAATTTTCAAGTTTGGATTTTATTTATCTGACTACATTAAGCATTGTGGTTTAATAGTTCTATCTGATAACTCAAATAATTCAAAGCAAATGGATCTATTTGTGTTGCCTGTTGTCTCTGTTGCTTCTTACTTATGATGTCTTTTTTCTTTCTGTTTCTGGTTATCTTTGTGTGGAGGCATTATACATGAACAATTGTTTGTTGAAGTATTTTCAGGCAAGGATGATAGAATCTTAAGAGATTTTATTTGTATTGGTCAGGCCCATAAGGGTGCTTCCCTTCTGGTACCATCATAATCTATGTTCAAAGATTGTTTACTGGTCCACCTAAATGTTGCAAAGTCAAGCTAAAAGACTGTGAGGGCTAGTTTATTTCCAGTTTATAAGTACTCTAAAAGTGAAACATTTGAGGTTTGCAGTGCCATATGGGTGATGGTTTCTTAGGAAACTCCACCCCTTTTAATGAAGATTGGGCTTTGATTTTTGTTATTCTAGTGCCAAGTTAGCCAGAGGTTCAACTCTGGCACAGGTTTATTTCTTAATTTTTATTCCTTACCTACAGATACCCTTAAGACAAATACAGTTAACCATATGTATTCTAAAAGAAAACGTGTGTGAATTCCTCTTTGACTGCATATAGGAAAAGAGTTCTTAACTATTAATCAAAATCTAGATGCAATTAAAGAAAAGTTTCATAAGTCTATTTTTTAAAAAGTGCATGGTGGAAATACATAAAAAAGTAAAAAAGCAAATAACAAACTAGAAATGACTATTTGCAACACATATAACAGATGAAGGCCAAATATAGTTACTGTAATAAAGAACACTTGAAAAATGAGGGAAGGACCAACAACCCAATAGAAAAATGTAGAAAAGATGTTAAACAATTCACAATGATATTGAAATTGTCATTAACCAGGAAGGCAAAATAAAATGCTATTGAGATACTATTCACCTACCATACTAGTGAGAATTTAGAAGTATATGTCACACATTATGTTGGAAAGGGTGTGGGGAAACAACCGCTGTCCTATATTGCTGGTGGAAAAAAAAAAACAGGTCTGAGGCTCAGGGAATGGAAGAGCCTGGACAAGTAGATTTGTGAATCCTCTATGCTTAGCAGGAAATGAACAGATGTGACCCAGGGAGAGAAAACAAGTGGACTGGGAAGAGGGGAGGCCCAGCCACACCACTTAAAGGAGGCAAGGCAGCTTCCTGGCGGGCACTACCACCCCGGCTCTGGATTCACACTGAGCCGGTCTTGAAAGAGGGCTGTGGGGCTCAGGCTGAGGGCTCTTGGGGAAGTCGGGTACCCTCCCTGTGACCACACAGGCGATCCTGGGCATCTCGGAGGGATGCTGTGAGCGGAGCAGAGAGGCGGGTAAAGCACCTGCGGTCGGGAAGCCACCCCGCTCCCGCTCTCGGTGACTTGCCCTTTGCCACCCGTCCGCGGCTGCCAGGTCCCTCGGGAATGGGGGTGAGGGGGCGGGGCGGGGCGAGCTCGGGTGACGCGGCGCTCACGTGACCGGCCGGGCGCCGACGTGGGCAACAGCCCCCGCGCCCGCCCGCCCTGCGGTCCGGTCGGTGCGCCGTCCGCTCCCGTCTCCCGCGCGGTACCAGCTCCCTGAGCTGCTCGGGCGGTGGGTGAGCGGCGAGCGGGCTTCGACGAGCCCGAGGAGGTGCAGGCTGCCGCGGCCCCGCAGATCAGTGTGGAGGTGGGTGCTGCCGACGGCCCGGGGCAGGGGCAGGGGCAGGGACGGGGGTGGGGTGGGTGCAGGTAGGGGCCCGGGGCGGCGGCGCGGGATCCGGGGTCCCCGAGGCTGGTGAGGAGGGGGACGCGGGCAGGTGGGGGTGGGCCGCCACCTCGACCCCCCTCTTCTGCGCCCTCCATCCTTTCGCGAACTTGAAATGAGCGGGGGTGGGGCGGGAGCCTGCAGTGCGACAGTGAAATGTAGACAGCCTGGAAATAAGCCCCTCTCGTGCTCCGCACCCCGAGGAGTCGGTGACCTCCGCGCAAATGGGGGTGGGGGCGGGTTGCCCGCAGGGTTGGGGGGACACAGAGACCCAACCAGTTTGGAATGCAACCTGGTCTAGCGCCCAGGGCCTGGAAAGTAATGGCGCCTGGGATTCGGGAGAAGGAGCCGCGGACAAGGAGGGCCCGTGCTCAGGAAAGGGGACGTCAGTCTGCTGGGCTCGCAGCCCCTGCCCGTCTGTCTGCAGGTCTGCATGTCAGTTCCTAGCACTCTGCAAGGCTAGAACAGGAGGAGGAACCTGTCCAGAATTCCTGCAGGTCAGTGAAAGGGGGCATCACGGCTTGGGAAGAATTTGAAGGTCCTACTGCCCGTCTGGCCACCACATGTATTGCATACGCACACGCACAAACGCACACACACACACATCACCACAATGAAGGATGGTACAGACAGTGGCAGGGCCTGCCAGGGAAGTGGTTGGCTCTTGTGGTAGGAGGGATGGTGGGGGAAAGGGTGGGTGGAAGGCCCACTTAGAGGCCAGGCCAAGTCAGGGGCACCTTGGCATGAGGGGAGATGGGGGTACTACCCGGACCTGCAGTCCACTCCCACACCCGCCTCCCTTGTCTCCTCTTTGTCTCCCCCAGTCTATCCTTCAGGACAGGAAAAGGAAGGGGAAATCTCAACATGGAAAACCTCTACAGTGACAACGAAGGAAAGCTGGAGAGCCAGGGAAAGCCTGAAGGTGAAGTAGAGGCTGAAGGTGACGGAAGTTCAGATGAGGAAGAAAGGCTGGAAGTGGGGAGGAAGCCAGGGCACGCGAGAAAGCTCCAGAATGAGGGACAGCCAGAAGATGAGGAGGAGCATGAAAAGCAGGGAAAGGCCGGAGATGAGGGAGAACCTCGTGGGGAGGCAAAGCCCACGAGTGGGCCGCGAGCCACCAAAAAGCGCCCGGCTGAAGATTATGTGCCCCGGAAAACCAAAAGAAAAACGGACAGGGGCACGGACGATTCCCCCAAGGACTATCAGGAGGATTTCCAGGAAAGACATCTGGGCAGTGAGGAGATGATGAGAGAATGCAGAGATGTGTCAAGGGCTCAGGAAGAGCTAAGGAAAAAACAGAAAATGGGCGGTTTGCACTGGATGCAAAGAGATGTACAGGATCCATTCACCCCAAGGGGCCAACGGGGAGTCAGGGAAATAAGGGGCGGAGGTAGGGGTCAAAGGGGTTTACATGATATCCCATATGTTTAATGACTGGGCCTTCAATTCTGATTTCTCTGATGAGAATATTGCTGACTCTGCTTTCCCTGGCAGGGACTTGCCAGGCTCTATGTGCTAAACCTTAAGGTGATAGACGTCACTCTTGTTACCAGCAACAACCTTTTGATCCAACTACAGTGCTCTCTGCCTTTCAGTGGGGGATTTTCACCCATGTGCATGGAAGAGATGTTCATGGTACACCGGAAAATAATAATAAAGAAAAGACCAGTTTTCAGAACCACATATACAGTATCAGCCCATTTTTGTAAAAATATAATGTGTTTGCATAACACATTTGTGCACAGAGAAAACTCTGAAAATATGTCCACTAAAAATTGGTCATATTTTTTTCCTGCATGGTAGCCAAAGAGAAGTACTCAAAACTGAGTCCAATCACCTGATGAGTAGGCACCTCCATGCCATTCCTCTGCAGGCGTGCTCATCCCCACGTGTTCACATAGTTATAACCATGTCAGCTGCCCCTCTGCATCCTCTGCTGTCCTATGGCTCCCACCATGTGTGATTTTTGTTTTTATCTGCTCACTCATCTATACTTTTTACTAAATGTTATAGATTATGTTTGTCATAATAATAACTAAAACCAAAAAACAATACATGATACATGATTGAACTATTCAGTGCTTATGAGGGCAATGAAGGCATTTAAAATACCTGTTGTCAGAATGTTCAATTATAGGTAAGACTCACATTACCTGTGGGACTCAAAGAGGAATCAACCTGGCAGTATAACAACAGATCCAATGCTGTAAGGGTCAGTCTTGCCATCTATGGAGGGAAAAAACTTGCCTCACACATTGCTGAGTGGATCAGATGAAATTGTATTCGAGCTATGATGGGCTGGCTCCTTTGTCATAAGACCCTAGACCCTGTCAGACACTCAGGAGGGCTGAAGGTAAGTCTCACCTGTGCCCAGGAACAAATCCAAGCAACTGAGAAGAGTGCCACCCTTCTCTGGATACTACCATATCTGCTAGGTACTCCTGTGCCTGTACCCTCTGCCTACAGCTATTGATAACGATGGGATTGTAGTGACAAAGCCCTTCTGATTGTCAATAATCCCCCAAAGGTCAAAGCCCATATTTGATGCCATAAGAGTGTGGATAAAGCCCCTATCACAACTAGAGTTGGACCTACACAGGTGGTACTGCCCCAGGGCTTCTCGGGACCCACTGTATTACACAGCTTTTAGCAAAGTGGTCATTAACACTTTTAGTTCTTTTTATATTTGCTTATACTTTCTCTTCATAGGACTCAGAGATCTTGGGTCTACTGGGGGCTGTGTCCTGAGACAATGGACCAGACAGTGTTGGTGATTTGAACTGCATACCACACCACAGTACCCAAGGGAAACCACATCTGAATTTTTTCTCTAAAAAGTCTCTGGCAGCGTACTATACAAAATCAAGGGACTTATCCACACATAACCACAGAGGGTTACACAACTGAGTTTCAAGCTGAAAATATTCCATCCCAGTCCAAACCAATTCCAACTGAAAAGAGTAATAGTGCTCTTAAAAATATTAAAAACTCAATGTTAGGCATTTTTATTTAACCTACCAGTATGTTCCTTTCTCAAAACAAAGACTTGTTCTTATCTTGATTTCCTTTACACTGTACTTGACACATATACTTAATAAATTATGATTGAATCAGGAGCCCTGAATTTGTAGAGATACACTGTTCATGGATTAAAAGTCTCAACAGTATTAATATAATAATTTAATAGTGATAATATGATAAAACTCTCCAAAATTGATCTTTCTGAATGCTGTCCCAATAGAAATCCCAGCAAACTGGGATTCTAAGTTACATGGAAAAGCAAAGGACATAGAATTGTCAAAATATTCTGAAAATGAAGAATAGAGTTGGAGAACTCACTGATTTCAAAACTATAAAGCTACAGTAATCAAGACTGTAGTATTGGCATAAGGATAGACAAATAGATCAATGGAAAAGACCAGACAGTCCAAAAATCAGCCAACAAGAATGTGGCCCACTCATAAAAAGATCCCAAAGTAATAAAATGGAGAAAGGTATACTTTTCAACAAACAATGCTGGAACAATTGGATGTTGTCTTAGTTTAGGGTGCTATAACAAAAATACCATAGACTGGGTGGCTTAACAACAAACATTTATTTCTCCCAGTTCTGGAGTTCGGAAGTCCAAGATGCTAGCAGATTCTGTGTCTAATGAGAGAGGCCTGATACCTGGTTCATAAACATGTCTTCACATGGCAGAAGGGGCAAGGGAACTCTCTGGGTCTCTTACAGTGAAAATAATCCCATTCATGAGGGCTCCACTCACATGACATAATCACCTCTTCAAGGATCCACCTCCAAAAGCATAGAATTTAACCTAGGAATTTTGGGGTTACACAAACATTCAGTCTATACCAAACATGCATATACAGAAAAGTACCCTTACCTCGCACCATATACAAAATATGAATTAAAAATAGTTCATAGATCAAAATATAAAACCTAAAGTTATAAAAACTTTATTTAAAGATAGGAAAAAATAGGGAATAGTTTGTAGTTGCAAGGTAAAATACTGCTTATTAAAATATTGCTGATTAATTGCTTATTAATTTTACATTGGTCTAAAAGACTTTTGACATTTTTCTGCCACTACTTACTAAGTTCCAGAGGTTTCTCCTACTAAAAAATAGAAAAAGGCAAATGCTAATGATAAAACATTTAAATGCAGGCAACCAAATTTAAGATGTTAGAAAATAGGAAAAAGGGGGTAATCTAGGGTTAGGCAAACATTTCATAAAGGATATAAGCACCAATAATAAAGATCAGTAAGTTGGACCATAAATATAAAAATAATTTAAAACTTCTCCATAAAAACCACTATTAAGAAAATGAAAAGAAAAACTTCCACCTAGAAGAAGATATTTGATAAAGTCTCCTTTATCTGTCTCCAGAATATGCAAAGAACTTTCACAACTCAGTAATAACACAATACAATCTAAAAATAGGCAAATAATGTCAAGACACTTCACCAAAGAAGAGATACAGATGGCAAATGATTCCATGAAATGATGTTCAACATCATTAACCAGAGAAATGAAAATACCATAATGAGATACAACTACACATCTATTGGAGTGGTTAAAACAAAAACAAAAACAACTGCTATTAAAAAGTCCTAGCAGGAATAAACCTCACCAAGGAAGTGAAAGACCTATACCTTGAAAACTGCAAGACACTCATGAGAGAAATTAAAGATATCAATAAATGGAAACACATCCTGTGCTCATGAATAGGAAGAATTAATATTGTCAAAATGGCCATCCTGCCTAAAGCAATCTACAGATTCAATGTTTTGAAGACTCAACAGATTAGAAGACTCAACAGTGTTAATATATTAATATAATATTGATACGATGGGGTTCTCATGGTGACAAAGTCCCTCTGATTCTCAATAATCCCCCAAAGGTCAAAGCCTCTATTTGATTCCTATCAAAGTACCAACAGCATTCTTCAACGAACTAGAGAAAATCATTCTAAAATTAATATGGAACCACAAAAGACACCGAATAGCCAAAGCAACCCTGAGAAGGAAGAATAAAGCTGGGGGGATTATGCTCCCCAACTTCAAGCTCTACTACAAAGCCACAGTAATCAAGACAATTTGGTACTGGCACAAAAACAGACCCATAGACCAATGGAACAGACTAGAGAGCCCTGATATAAACCCAACCATATATGGTCAATTAATATACAATAAAGGAACCATGGACATACAATGGGGAAATGACAGCCTCTTCAACAGCTGGTGTTGGCAAAAGTGGACATCTACATGCAAGAGAATGAAACTGGATTATTGTTTAACTCCATACCCAAAAGTAAACTCGAAATGGATCAAAGACCGGAATGTAAGTCATGAAACCACAAAACTCTTAGAAGACAACATAGGCAAAAACCTCCTGAATATAAGCATGAGCAACTTCTTCCTGAACACATCTCCTTGAGCAAGGGAAACAAAATTAAAAATGAACTCATGAGACTACATCAAACTAAAAAGTTTCTGTATGGCAAAGGACACCATCAACAGAACAAAAAAACATCCTACAGTATGGGAGCATATATTTGTAAATGACATATCCAACAAGGGGTTAACATCCAAAATATATAAAGAACTTACACGCCTCAACACCCAAAAAGCAAATAACCCAATTAACAAATGGGCAGATGATATGAAGAGACAGTTCTCCAAAGAAGAAATTCAGATAGCAAACAGACACATGAAAAGATGTTCCATATCACTAATCATCAGGGAAATGCAAATTAACACCACAATGAGATTTCACCTCACACCAGTAAGGATGGCCAGCATCAAAAAGACTAAGAACAACAAATGCTGGTGAGGATGCGGACAAAGGGGAACCCTCCCACACTGCTGGTGGGAATGTAAGCTAGTTCAACCATTGTGGAAAGCAATATGGAGGTTGCTCAAAAAACTAAAAATAGAAATACCATTTGACCCAGGAATCCCACTCCTTGGAATTTACCCAAAGAATACAACTTCTCAGATTCAAAAAGGCACATGCACCTCTATGTTTATCACAGCACTTTTTACAATAGCCAAGATATGGAAGCAACCTAAGTGTCCATCAGTAGATGAATGGATAAAGAAGATGTGTTACATATACACAGTGGAATACTATTCGGTCATAAGAAAGAAACAAATCCTACCATTTGCAACAACATGGATGGAGCTGGAGGATATTATGTTCAATGAAATAACCCAGGCAGAGAAAGACAAGTGCCAAATGATTTCCCTCATTTGTAGAGTATAACAATGAAGCAAAACTGAAGGAACAAAATAGCAGCAGACTCAGAGACTCCAAGAAGGAACTAGTGGTTACCAAAGGAGAGGGGTGTAGGAGGATGGGTGGGGAGGGAGGGTAATGGGTATTGAGGGGTATTATGTTTAGTACACATGGTGTGGGGGATCACAGGGAGAACAGTGTAGCGCAGAGAAGGCAAATAGTGGATCTGTGGCATCTTGCTGCACTGATGGACAGTGACTGCATTGGGGTATGGGTGGGGACTTTATAATATGGGTAAATGTAGCAACCACATTGTTTTTTCCATGTGAAACTTTCATAAGAGGGCATATAAATAATACCTTAAATAAAAAATTTTTTTAAATGTCCTAGCAAGTATGCAGAACAACTGGAACTCTCGTTGGTGGGAATACAAAATGGCATGACCACATTCAAGTGATTTGGCAGCACACACTTACCATAGAAGCCAGTAATCCCACTCCTAGGTATTTATTTACATAATAGGAATGAAGATTTTAGTAGTTTTATTCATAATAGTTTCAATCTGGAAACAAACCAAATGTCTCCCAAATGGTGAATGGATAAACAGGAAAAAACTACTGGTGCATGCAAAAACAAGAACGACTCAAATTCATTAGGCTAAGTGAAACAAGCGAAACTAAAAGCTACATTCTAGTATGCTTCCATTTCTAAGACATTCTGGAAAAATCAAACTATAAGGACTGAAATTGGATTGATTCTCAAGTGTGGTTTTTTTTCAAGTGTAATTTTGGATGTTCCTAACTGTAGGAATTTTAAGCCTTATCCTCCT